GAAAGAAAGAAAGAAAGAAAGAAAGAAAGAAAGAAAGAAAGAAAGAGGAGAAAGAAAGAAAGAAGAAAAACAGGGGAAGAAAAAAGGGGAGGCAGCTGTCCTTTTTTTTTGAGGATTCTACCAGCCTCGGGGGTTTTGCTTGCAATGGATCTATTCCTCAGAACCCTGACCCACAGTTCCTACTACAAGCACCCCCCACTCGTCTGGCTGGAGAAGCCCAGATGGCCACCGAGAGATTTGTGTCCCAAAAGTGGCCTACAGATTATTGCAAAGCGCCGCTGTGAGGAGATACCACCTACTTCCGTGTTTTCTGTGAAGGTCCAGGGACATAGTAGCCCGGTCTGCACTTATACTTGCAGGAGGAGCCCACTTTATGTTTCTGAATCCGGCAGCGGCCAGTTTGGAGGTCAGCATTGGGAATCAAAGGAGGCGCCCGACACATCAACTCGCAGAGAGCCTCTGGGAAGGACCACAACCCGTCTTCCAAGCATGTCAAATGGTTATTGCTTCCTGGGACAGACGACAAAAAACCAAAACCAATGTCAGCTGGGAGCAAGCGGTTATAAATACTGCTGGGTCGGAGTAAATAAGTCAATAAAAATGGGTGTTCGGGGTTCCATCCACCATTGCCTGCGGAGGGAACGGGAAAGAAAGCGGCTGTCATTCTCACAGGCGGGTTTTTATTTTTCTGCCTCGTTCTGCCTTTCGCTCTGCAGCCCGCTGCCTTCCCGCCAGCAACCTGTTTGGTCTTCCTGTGTTTTCCAAAGGGAAATTTTCTACTCAGGTGGCTTTTTCAGGTCAAGGAGCCAGGATAGGAGCGCGATGGAACTTGGATTGTGTTTTTGTGACACAGAGAGAGAGACAGAGAGACACAGAGACAGAGACGGAGTAGGGAGAGACATACAGACAGACAGAAAGGGAGAGAGACAGACAGAACGAGAGAGAGGCAGAGAGAGAGAAAGAGACAGAGATGGAGGGAGGTTGAGAGACACAAGAGAGAGAGAGAGAGAGACAGACAGACAGACACAGGGAGACAGAAAGAGTGGGAGGGAGAGAGACAGACAGACAGAAAGGGAGAGAGACAGACAGAAAGAGAGAGAGAGGCAGAGAGAGAGAAAGAGACAGAGATGGAGAGAGGTTGAGAGATGAGAGAGAGAGAGAGAGAGAGACAGAGACAGAGACAGAGACAGAGAGAGACAGAGAGATTAGAAAGAGTGGGAGGGAGAGAGACAGACAGAAAGGGAGAGAGATAGGACAGAGAGAGAGAGGCAGAGAGAGATAGAAGGAGACAGAGATGGAGGGAGGTAGAGAGGAGAGAAAGAGAGAGAGAGAGACTTTCTACTACCTTAAAACAATAAAGGAAGCTTTAAAACAATCAAAAGAAGTTTTAAAGCATCCCGGAAACAAAGTGGGAAAAGCAAAAGAATAAAACTCATTTGCAAGGGAAGAAATCAGACCGGGGTGGTGGGGTGGTGGTGGTATTAAAAGTAGATGTTGACACTTATGCTGAAGAAAACGGGGCCATGCCATCCAAGGAAAATTTCTGAAAATCTCCTTCATCCATCCTACTTTCCCCCTTGAATCTCAGATGTCCCAATTATCTCTTTCAGAACCATCCTCAGATGGGTCAAACTTCCCTCTCCTTTTCTTTCCCTTTACCAAGAATATTTTAAAAAATAATAATAATCCCCAAATCTAGGAGCACATTCAAAGAAAATGTCATAGGCATCTAAGCTCTGCAGTGGATTTTTTTTTTGGTTTATCAATCAATCGAATTTCTAATCGGTCATAGTCCAGCAACTCATTCTTAGTTTCTCACCCCACCCTTGATTTGATGGCACAAGAGCTTCCACAATAGTTGATGTTCTCCATGCTCTTCACTTTCATTCGCCCAGATGTCTTGGAACCAAGGTCAGGCAAAACTCCTGGGACGCAAGCTTTGAGTTAACCTACAATAGTAAAGGTAAAAGGTTCCCCTCACGCACACATGCTAGTCGTTTCCGGCTTTAGGGGGGCGGTGCTCATCTCCATTGCAAAACCAAAGAAGAGCCAGCGCTGTCCGAAGACGTCTCCGTGGTCATGTGGCCGGCATGATTAAATGCCGAAGGTGCATTGAACGCTGTTACCTTCCCATCAAAGTAGCTCCTATTTTTTTACTTGTATTTTTACATGTTTTGGAACTACTAGGCTGTCAGAAGCTCGGACAAGTAACGGGAGATTCCTCGGAGAGGCAGCGCCAGGGATTCAAACGACTGATCTGCTGACCTTTCTGATCGACAAGCTGAGCGTATTAACCACGGAGCCACCGCGTCCCCCTACAACAGATTACACTGCAATTCCCTGTGTCTGGGACGACCTTGGGTTTCTCTTGCAGGAGATTGGCAAGGATGACCCACCATGGTCCAAAATACTCAAGGGGCCCTTCCGAATCCAGAATGGGGGTTGCAGGGAGATGGGGAAAACAACTTTGAGACCTTTTTGTCTTCTTTTGAGCTGTTGAGGTATTCTTGGACTCTTCTGAATGCTCCTTCCCTGTGCCAGCTCCTCTGCTTTCTCCAGTCTGACTCACCCAGCATGTCCACCACAGTCCAGCATGGATGATCTCATGCTTGTTTCGGCAGGGTGATGAACTGTGACATTAAGAAACAGTGGCTGGTCTGACATTGGGGGTTGAATTTGGAGTGAGTCATCCCCGGCTCTGGACCTAACATGCTGCAGCTCACTGAGGGATCAGTGTTAGTCACACCACACCGATTCAGCATTCAGAATTGCTTTCCCCTTCTCCTTCAACCAAGATAGTATAAGGTCTCCTGTCTTAAAGGAGAAGGAGGAAGAGGAAGAAGAGGCGGAGGAGGAAAGAGAGAGAGAGAGAGAAGGAGGAGAAGGAGGAGGAGAAGGAAGAAGAGAAAGAAGAGGAGGAGGAAACAGAGAGAGAAAGAGGAGAAGGAGAGGAGAAGGAGAGAGAGAGGAGGAGGAGAAGAAGAGGGTGGTGGCGATGGTTTAGGATCAATTCGAACTTTATCAGTCAATTCAAACTTTATCAGTCAGTCTCCTTCTCTTTCTCCTTCTCCTTCAACCAGGATAGTATAAGGTCTCCTGTCTTGAAGGAGAAGGAGGAAGAGGAAGAAGAGGAGGAGGAGGAAAGAGAGAGAGAAAGAGGAGGAGAGAAGAAGAAGGAAAGAGAGGAGGAGAAGGAGAAGAGGGTGGTAGTGATGGTTTAGGATCAATTCAAACTTTATCAGACAGTTTCCTTCTTCTTTTTCTCCTTCTTCTTCAACTATATGGTCTCCTGTCTTGAAGGAGAAGAAAAAGAAGGAGAAGAAAAAGAAGGAGAAGAAAAAGAAGGAGAAGAAAAAGAAGGAGAAGGAGAAGTGTCTTGTCTTGCCTTCTGATGCAGATTTGTCTAAAATGGGATAGGTTCTCCTGATTATGCAGGGGGTTGGACTAGAAGGCCTCAAAGCGCCCCTTCCAATTCTGTTCTTCTTCAGAAACCTCAAAGCCTCACGTTAGAGTTGACAAAAACTGCCCTCCTCCCTGAGAACTTACCTTTTAGCTGAGCAGGAGGCTTGCAGGTAAAGGAGCACTTCTTGCCAAAGGTGGTCCCTTCGCTGCAGTTAAAAGTAGCCGGGTAGACATGGTGCTGGTCTGGAATCCCGCAGTCAATGGGCTCACAGGATACCTGCTTGTTCCATTCCCCATCCAGGCAAGTCATGGTGGTGCTTGGCTCCCACTGAAAGAAGGGAAACAGGGTTCATTAAGCCAGGGCTTGCTTGACCCATCTCTCACCAAAGGAACTTGTATCCTGGGATAGTTTGTCTTCTGATTCCATCCCCCCACCCCCGGGCCAAATCACACTCAAAGTGTTGAGGCTGCATGAGTTTTGAGACAATCCATATCTACAACCAAAGTTATTGGCTCTCCAAGGTCCCTCCCATCTCTTATTCTGTTAGCTGTAGCCCAATTGAGCAGGGTCTATGACAATTTGCCATAGCCAAGTCATCACGGCCAATTCACCACAACCAACTCACCATGGCCAATTCATTGAGGCCAACTCTCCATGACCAACTCACCATGGCCAACTCACCACAATCAACTCACCAAGGCCAACTCATCATGGGCAACTCATTGTGGCCAACTCACCCTGGCCAACTCACCACAGCCAGCTCACCATGGCCAACTCATTGTGGCCAACTCATTGTAGCCAACTCACCATGGCCAACTCACCCCAATCAACTCACCATGGCCAACACATTGTGGCCAACTCACCATGGCCAACTCACCACAGCCAGCTCACCATGGCCAACACATTGTGGCCAACTCATCATGGCCAATTCACCACAACCAACTCATCATGGCCAACTCATTGTAGCCAACTCTCCATGACCAACTCACCATGGCCAACCCACCACAATCAACTCACCATGGCCAACTCACCACAGCCAACTCTCCATAACCAACTCACCACAATCAACTCACCGTGGCCAGCTCACCATAGCCAACTCTCCATGGCCAACTGACCACAGTCAAGTCACCAAGGCCAACTCGCCATGTTCAATTCACCACAGCCAATTCACCACGGCTTACTTGCCGTGGCCAACTCACCACGGGACAAGAGTTACATTAATATTAAAGAAATAGTGGGATTGAATCATTAAAATAAAGATGCAAAAGGAAAGACGGGATTTGAATGTGAATTAAAAAAAATTAAAGTATTTTTTTTTTATTTATTTCAAATAATTAAATTGAATTGTTAAACTGTCCCACAGCGAGTTGGCAATGGCGAGCAACCAGAGTAGGGCAGGGTGATGAAATTAACCAAGCATCCCTATTTGCTTTGGAGACGGAAACCCCTTGATCAAAACCAGGCACATGAGTTGGCTCTTGTTCTCAACACACACACACACACACACAAACACACACACACACAGAGTGAGTGAGAGTGAGAGAGAGAGAGAGAGAGAAAGAGAGAGAGAGAGAGAGGCAATTGCTCTGCTGGTGAAACCTATAAGCCGGCTGTATTTAGTTAGTGGACTCTCACATTCTCTTGACATTCAACCTGGCTTCAGTGTCTTCCTTCCTTCCTTCCTTCCTTCCTTCCTTCCTTCCTTCCTTCCTTCCTTCCTTCCATCCATCCATCCATCCATCCATCTCAGCCTCATTGCAGAACCAGCTTTCGGGCAACAGGGGTGTTTTGCTATGAGGCTTAAGATAAGGAAATCCAGGCCATGGGGCAGAGCAGGGTGGAATTGCATTCCTTTTTGGTAATGCCACTGAATTAGACAGTCTCTCTCTCTTTTTTCCTTCTCCCTCCCTGTATTCCTTTCCCCCCTCCTCTCCCTGCCTTTTCCTTCCTCTCTTCTTTCCCTTCTCTCCCTTCCTCTCCTCTTTAATTCCTTCTCTCTCCCTTCTTCCCCCCTCTCCCTTCCTTCCTTCCCTCTCTCGTCCTTTCCTCTTTAATTCCTCCTCTCTCCCTTCCTTCCATCTCTCCCTTCCTTCTGTCTCCCTTCCTTCCCTCTTTAATTCCTTCTCTCCCTTCCCCCCCTCTCCCTTCCTTCCCTCTCTTCTTTCCTCTCTCTCCCTTTTTTCTTTTCTCTGTCTCCCCTCTGTCTCTCCCTTCCGTCTCTTTCTCCCTCTCCTTCTCTCTCTCTTCTTTCTTTTCCCTCCTTCCTTTTTTCTCTCTTCCTTCCCCCCCTCTCTCCCCCCCCTCTTCCTTCCTTCTCACTCTCTCTCTTCCCTCACCACGGCCCAAATCTCTCTCATCGTTCCAACTTCAGGAAAAGCGGGAGTCTTTTGCAAACCCAAAGCGATGGAAAAACCTCCAGCATAGTTCACGGGTACACTGATAGCACAGAGTCGGTGCCAAATTGAGGGTTGCGTGTGCACACAAACATCTTTGCAGCTTGCACACAAACACACACACAGAGAGAGAGACAAAATAATTAGGGGAAACAATCTGATTCTTTTTTCTTTCCCTTGAAAAACTCTGGATTCTCTTTGGCTGCAAAGAGCCCGCAAGAAAGAGAAACAAACAAGCCATTCGGGCTTGGGTGGGGTGTGTGTGTGTGTGTGTGTGTGTGTGTGTGTGTGTGTATGTGTGTGTGTGTATGTGTGTGTGTGTTTGTGTATTGGGGAGGGGGGAAGGTTGCAGAAGGAAAAGAGACAGACAACTTTCTCCTGGAAGAGAAAGAAGCCAGTCAGTGCTGGGGCCGCGTTAGGGTAAAAATCCTCGCGCAACAGAGGCCCAGATGGTTGAGCTCGCTCTTCTAAATGGAGAAAACTCCACAGATCTTTCCTTTTCTTATGGGAAGACAAATTTGTTCTGAGACAAATTTGGTTTCTGCTGGCTGCCAAAAGAAGGCACCCTAATTTGGATGGTGATGGCAGGGTCAAAGGCATCCGCTAGACTTTCTCCCCAAAGACATCGCGATAAACAGCCTCTTGGTATCCTTGCAGGAAGTGACATTTCCCTCCCCTGGTTCTCCTCCTACGTTTAATTCTCCTCTCCTGACGCCGTTTTAGGGTTTATTTAGTTGCGATGCTCGTTGCGAAAGGGGAAGACCAGCTCGGTTTCAATCGCTTGGTATTCTCTTGGCGTCTGCCAGCAAAGTCAGGGATATGAAAAATGGTTGCGGGCATTGGGTCTTTCTGGTCTAGAGAAAAGAAGGACCGGGGGAGACATGATAGCAGCCTTCCAATATTTGAGGGGCTGCCAGAGAGAGTTTTGCAGCGATAATTCAGCACCAGAAAAAATAAACACAGATGGCTGATGCTTCATTTAACATCTTTATAAACATCGATTTTTACAAACCAGTTGTAGATTTCTCCAACACGGAGCAAACTCAGACAGAAACATGTTGCAAGTTCAGAGCAGAGCTCCAGTCTTCAGCAAGCAAGTTAGTTTCATCTTCTATAGATCAGCAGTTTCATCTCAATGGGCAGAACTCCACATAGCTGCAGAGTTGCAGAGTTTTAACATAGAGCCACACCTAGACTACTTTTAGTTTCAGTTTCCAGCCTAGGCTACTTCGAATTTCAGTTTCCAAAACAGTCCTCGTTGGCTGACTTAGTTGCTATGCTATTCATTGGCTGACCTTGTTACCAAGCTCTGTTCCATTTCATGAATATATTGACACTGCCCCAAAGGAGATGGGGTCCACTTATTTCCCAAAGCACCAGAAGACAAGACCAGGGGTGGGATTCTACCGGTTCGCACCTATTCGCTAGAACCGGTTGTTACCATTCTAAGCAGTTCAGAGAACCGGTTGTTAGAAGAAATTACTGGGCTAATCCTGTAAGGAAGGCAGGAAGGAAACATTCTGGTGTTGCTTACAGAAACGGCCTCTCCGTTAACCCCTTATTACATTCTTGGCAGGACTAGACTTCCTGTTCCAGGAACTTCTCTGGAGTTTTTTTTCCCCTCCTTTGCTGGTACTTTGCTTATGTGGAGTGACCATTCAAAGTTACAGTGGCACTGAAAAAAGTGACTTATGACCATTTTTCACACTTATGACTGTTGCAGCATCCCCACAGTCATGAGAGGCCAGGTGAGGAGATGCGTGCCACGATGTGAGTGATATTGAGTTGGCCACACCCACCAACTAAGCCACGCCCACAGAACCGGTGGTTAAAGGTCTCTCCCAACCCTATGATTCTATGTTCTCTCTTATCACCGCTGCTTCCCTGCAATCCCATTGCCAAGGAAGAGCTCAATTTCCCATCCTGTTTAGCATCTTTTTTCTCATCAGAGTCACCTTGGGTGAGATGGGTAGCTGTATCCATTTACACACACACACACACACACACACACACACACACCAGTTCCACCAACCTGGCTTTGGGGCAGATCATTGGTTCTGTGAGCCTGGAGGACATAACCTGTTTGGCAGGTAACGTTACACTGGGCGCCATTGTAGTGCCCTCCGTCAGTGAAAGACAGTATGGCGTTCTCAATTTCCAACTCTTGGCAGTCCATGGTCTTGCAAGAATGGGGGACACAGCTGTTTGGGGGGGGGGAGAAAAAGACTCAGTTAGAGTAGGAATAATCAGACTTCCAAGGTAGCATATAACTTGTAGGGCGGTAATATCCCAAAGAGCACTGTGATTTCACCTAAATGTGATTTTCTTCTTCTGAAATTTTTCCTTCTGTGTCCTGAAAAAAACTTTTTTTTCCATACTTCATGTTCAGGGTGAGTTAAAATGTCCTTCCTTTCTTCCTTCTTTCCCCTTCCTTCCTTCTTTCCCCTTCCTTCCTTGTTTCTCCTTCCTTCCCTCTTTCCTTCTCTTCCCTTTCCTTCCCCTGCTCTTCCTTTCTCCTACCTCCCTCTCCTTCCTTTCTTTCCTTCCTTCCTTCCTCTTCACTTCCTCCCTCCGAGTCCTTTTCTTTCTTTCTTTCTTTCTTTCTTTCTTTCTTTCTTTCTTTCTTTCTTTCTTTCTTTCTTTCTTTCTTTCTTTCTTTCTTTCCCTTCACTCCCTCCCTCTGAGTCCTTCCTTCCTTCCTTCCTTCCTTCCTTCCTTCCTTTCTCCCCCCATCCC